GCCCCCGCCGTCCCTTGGGACCGCCCCTCTGAGCCTCCTGCCGCCTGGCTCTGCCGTGGGCCCCGCGGGACGTCCCCTTGTCCTGATCCCCCCCGATCCCCAGCCTGCAGCGTCTCAGGAGGGGTATTGAGTGTCCAGGCCCAGCCCAGCGGGGTTTCGGGGGTCTCCCCTCAGCCCATTGTCCAGTACCGGCTGTTCCCGAGCTGGGGGGGCCTCCCGGTCTCCCGTCACTGGGGCCCCGATCTCCAGGCCGCTGTCTGGGTCCCGGCTGCCAGGCGAGGTCACACCTGGTCCCCTGCAGCAACAACCCCCCCCCCCAATGTCGTTACACAGGGAAACTGAGGCACACACAATACTCCCACAAAACACAAGAAAATCCCCTGCTTTGTCCCACCTGGCTCCCAGCCCCCCCGGCTCTAACCACGGGGATCCCCCCATCCCCTCTCAGAGCCAGGGGAGACCCCCCCCGGCGTGTGAAAGGTTACAAGGGTTCCCCTCCTGCCCAGTGTTCAGGGCTCAGTGGATGTGGGGTTCCAGGAGGAGCCATTGTGGGGGGGGGGGGCGCTCCCTCTCCCTGGGTTGCTTGGGGGGCTGCGCTGCTCCCTCCCCAAGCAGTTTTCCCTCATCTCCCCCCCCCCCGCCCCGGGATCTCCCTCGACCCCACGGAGCAGAGCCTTGTCCCCCAAGTGAGGAGCCTCCTCTGAGTCCCCCAATGGAGCAGCCTCCTGCTCCGAACCCCAGAGGCACCACGGGAGCAAACCAGCCCGGTGGCGCTCAACCTTCCCGGGCGATGGCCCCGTTCAGGAGCCTGCTGTGCCCGGCGTCCCCCCGACTTTCACCGCACGTAAAAACCGCCTGCTTCCACAATCAGACACAGCCCCGGCCGCGCCACGGCCCCAGCCCTGACATATTCCTTCCTGGTGCCTCTTACTGTATCGCCCCCCTGCCCCGGCTGTAAACCCGGCCGGCTCTGTCTGGAACGGTGCTTGGTACCGACGCGGCTGGCGCTTCTGCCACCCGCGGGAAAACCAGCCCGGTCCCTAGCTGGGCTGCCGGAGCTCCCCGAGAACCGAGTTCTCTCACCCCGTAGCAGCACAAGCCGGGGCAATCTCCCCAGGTGGGGTGGGGGGAGAAATAGACCAGATCCAGCCCCACGGATACCCAGGGAGGGGGACTGAGGCACCCAGGAGCAGTGGGGTGGGGGGGGGAGAGAAATAGACCAGATCCAGCCCCACAGATACCCAGGGAGGGGGACTGAGGCACTCAGGGGCAGGGGGGAGAAGGGCCGCAGCGGCTAGGAGATGCTCTGCCCTATGGACCCCCCAGGGGCAGGGAGATAGTGGGGGCAGGGGGAGGGGATGGGAGGCAAAGGTGGATTTTTAAGATGTTTTATTTGGCTGAAGCTTCCAGCCCAGACAGGGCCTGAATTTCAAAAGCCAGAAAAGGCTTCGGGGCTATTTTCTCCCCCTTAGCAAAGCGGGAGGGGAGGAGACAAGTCGACTGGAGCGGATTTCTCGCTCCCACCCGGACGCAGCTCCCCGGTGTCGCTGGCCAGCGCGGGAGAGGGGCTTGGTCCCAAAGCCGTATCGACACAGCGCTGCAGGACAAACCGAAGCTCCGCTGCTCCGGTCGCCCCGCGGCCTTTCCCGTCAGCAGGATCCACCCGGGACACGAGACGAGGGAATCACCAGTCGGGTCGGGAACACGATGTTCAGCATCTTTGCTTCATTCTGACCCCGTGTGACGAAGTGGGAATGTTCTTAATGTTCTCTCTGAACACTGTGGGGGTGCCTCGGTTTCCCCTATGCAGTTCGTAAGTCTCTAGGTGATGGGATCAGGGGGTGTGACTGTTGCAGAGCTCTAGAGGGCAGGTGTGATGGTGTCTGCACAGAGAA